GCAGCAGGAGGGTTCAAAGGTTCACTTCAAGTCCCTTGTTTAGTATTTACAAGCACCACTTATTGCTTTATTACGCTATGAAGTACTTTTAATGGACACAAGGACAAACGTGCATTTTAGTAAAGGTGCACGATTCATTTCAGTTGCCTCTCAACGGCTCTCAGCATGGCAGCTCGTAGCAGCGAAGTGCTAACGGGAGCTAACGTGGAACTGAATAAAAGGCACCTCCACTGACCTGCAGCTGACGTTATGAAATACATCTGGTCGTTGTGTCTACAGCAGAACTCAAATCTCCTCATATTCAATTCTCAGTGTGTCAGAAATCAACTCACTGCGAATGATCGGATGTAAAAGTTGATCTGTAAGTCTGAATGTTCTCCCTGGATTTGGGGTTTGGGTTAGTCGATCACGGAGCCAAATCCTCTTCCTCACCCTCGCAGCGCAGTCTGATCTGGTCATGTCCGCACTCGGTGAAGAGCAGAAAGCTTTTCCAGCTCCTGTCTCCAAAGTGAAGACCACGGGACCGAGAGGTCGGCGTCTCGTGCTCCTTCATCAGACACAAAGAAATGCACTTAACTTTTCAGTCGCCTCAAAGCCAGTTCAAGGCTTCGACGGCTCAGCAGTCGGGACGAGCAGGATGAATTAATATCTCTTGTTCCTCTGTAATCCCAATGAGCAAAGTGATGGAGAGGAGGAAGTCCTACACGTCGGAGGAAGAGTACGAGCAGTGTGCGGTTTGTCACTTCAGGGGAGTAAACGTCTCGTTGAAGTTGAACAGATGTGTTTCCTGGTCTGACTGCTCCACTGGACAAGGATCATAAACCAACACGAAAGGCTCGTGCAGCGAACAGTGTTCAACTCACACCTCGACTATCGATTGTTACTCGACAGGAGAAAAATATCCAGCGGTGCTTCAGATTGATTCATCAGAAGAGTCACTTTGAGGAACGGATCAAATGAACCCGACACGGATGTTCTCCCATCTTCTGTAACCACGACTCACTCCTCCATCCTTCTCAGTTAGATCTTTAATACGGGACGTGGGACATCGCAGCAGGGGGCCGTGTTGCACTCGCTTTCACCGTCACCGTGGTGACGAAAGGAGAGCGGCGCCGGAAGGCAAAGCTCTCGATGTACCGGTCGATCTTCGTTCCCACCTTCACCTCTGGCCCTGAAGGAGTCATGAAATAGGTCCAATGCTGGGAGATGGTCCGCTGAGGGAGGGGGGTTACAGGTATACATGGTGAAGTGGATGTTAACCTAAGTGTGGTACATTAAGGGACAAAATCTTCCTTTTCTCTTTGTGGATTTGGCAGAACTCGTATACTTGGTAACTGTGTAAATGGTAAGTGGGTTCAAGTCTGAACCTTAATTCTGACCCAGTTTAATAGAGTTCTCACCTGCAACGAGATAACGTTGACCTTTAACGAGCTGTGAAGCTGCTGACGTTTTAATGCCTGAACTTACTTTAAATGAACTTTTATCTTCTCTTTGATTGCTGGTGTCTATGAGAAACAGCACTCGTGCAGACAGAAGAGTCCGGAGGTCCAATCACCTTCTCACAACATCACCTGACAATAAATACACATCCATGTGTGCTGACAGCCCAACACACATATTCTGCCCAACTGTCTCCACTGGTGTTCATTACACGTTACATTACCACACGTATGTGAAGAGGAGCTTACTCACTGATGAGCTCCAGTTTGAACGTATTCAGGATGCAGAAGGTGAACGAAGGTCATGCAACGTATTTCAGAGTGGAAGTAATGCAACCATCCAACGCTCTGAAGAAAGTATCGCAACCATCCAACGCTCTGAAGAAAGTAACGCCACCATCCAACGCTCTGAAGAAAGTAACGCAACCATCCAACGCTCTGAAGAAAGTAACGCAACCATCCAACGCTCTGAAGAAAGTAACGCAACCATCCAACGCTCTGAAGAAAGTAACGCAACCATCCAACGCTCTGAAGAAAGTAACGCAACCATCCAACGCTCTGAAGAAAGTAATGCAACCATCCAACGCTCTGAAGAAAGTAACGCAACCATCCAACGCTCTGAAGAAAGTAACGCAACCATCCAACGCTCTGAAGAAAGTAACGCAACCATCCAACGCTCTGAAGAAAGTAACGCAACCATCCAACGCTCTGAAGAAAGTAATGCAACCATCCAACGCTCTGAAGAAAGTATCGCAACCATCCAACGCTCTGAAGAAAGTATCGCAACCATCCAACGCTCTGAAGAAGGTGTCTCTCGTGAGGACAGAAGGACGTCCATTACTTACCAGCATAAGAAACAGGAATGACGCAGTCAGCAATGATCTGGTGGTTTGTGGTCTTTCTCCCATTAACCGAATAATCATCTCCCCCAGCGGAGCGTCTCATTGCAGCACTTTGCTCCCTGGAGGCAATAAAAGTCACTTTTAATATTGAAAACAACTTTCATTCGCTTTTGAGTCCAACTTCATTTAATCATAAGGTTTCTTGTCTCAATCTTTAATTTGGGGCAATAAGAGGAAGTCATCCTCCTTTACGTCTACCGGCCTTCTGCTTAAAGAAAAGGGGGACTGGAGATGTGTTGCCCCCCGACGAGAGTTTCGGGGGGAAGAACTCCATCCTTCCTCCTTCGTGCTGCTGCAGTTCCATAAGGAGACGGAATCGTCTTCACGTGGCTGCTGGAGGACACGGGTGGAAAGCTGCTCACCCGTCATTTGACTCCTGTGGATTCCACACCAATAATTTACTCTAAAGGTCGAATTAGAATGAAGAGAAAGTGGAGCGTTGCTACATTTACCATCCAGAGGATTAAGTAGGAGCCATAAATCAGCGTCCTGACATCGGGGCCTGGAGCCTGCAGGGGCCCGGGCCCCCGCATGGAGGTTAATAATAATAATGATAATAACGTTGATCAATCACCTTGCGGCTCGTTGGATGCAAATAGTGTGTCGTCACAGACGGAATATTGTTTTTTCTTGCCAACAGCACGAAGCAGGAAGTTCTGAAGTTAGATTATTATCTCATTGTGTATAATCATGAACACAGGTTCCTTCCCATCGGGACCAAAGGCTGCACACGAGTTTTTCCAATAAACTGAAGGTGTTGAAGTGCAGATCAAAGAGGAATATGTGTTTTTGCCCCTTCTGAAGTCTGGGGGGGGTCTGACAAACAATTATGGTCAACAGACAGAAAGGGAGGAGCAGGAAGTGATATTCTGAGAGGATGGAGGCAACACATCAATTTGTTTTAATGAAAGTCAACGGTGACATGAAAGACGTAGTAAAGCAGAACTCGCACCACCTACAGATCACACATATATACGTGTATATATATAAACATATATATATATATATATATACACATACATATATATATACATATACACACACACACACATATACACATATATACACACACATATATATTATATATTATATGTATATATGTGTATATATACACACACACACACACACACACATACTCCTCCTGTGAGGAACCAGTTTATTCTGCCTTACAGAAGCAGAAGGCCGCTGATGCTCCTCTGAAGGAGGTTTCTCTCTGAATGGCGCTGCTGTTGCTGTGAGTTCTTTTTGTGCTCACAGGTGAATAACAGTCGATGGGGAAGGTGTTGCCTGGCAACAAGCAAACGGGCCTCACTTTAAAGAGAGGAGAGGACTTACCTGCAGGTACCACCTGACGGAGCTCTGTGGTGTCAGAAAGTACGACTCTCCGCGTTGCCCCGGCAACCGGTTCACCGGGTCCTGGCCCGGCCCACTCGCTGCTCCGGATCAGCGCGTCC